AAAAAAAAAAAAAAAAAAAAAAAAAAAAAAAATTACATATGTAGTATGTAATATTTTTATATATGCACATATGCTATAAATATGCATATATATGTAGAGTGAGAGAGAGGTATAATCTAGCTGGCATGCTTCCCTTCAAGGGTCTTGGAGAGTCGGGGGTGTTCCTGGGGTGTTCCGTGTTTTTCGCTATCCATGATGCGGTGAGTGCAGCACGACGGGAGAGAGGCCTGCACGGACCCTTGAGCCTTAATAGTCCGCTGACCCCGGAGAAGATTAGGATGGCCTGTGAAGACAAGTTCACAAAAATGGTATGTTCTGCATAGTAGAAAAAAAATAGTGATCATAAAATTCTGAATTTTTGGCCTCTGTTCTTGTGGTAAGGTTTTGTGAACCCACTGCTGTGGCTTTTCTTGCCAGAAAAGGTGACGGGAAACATGGGGGCATTTGAGCAGATGTGCAGAGGGGTCCTTGAATTTGTACCCCTCGGTGCATTTTTTCATCAGCCTGGCCCTCCGTGGCTCCACTCTATACTGTTTGACAAAAGAAGGTTCATTCCCATTAGTTTTATGTTCCTCTCCTGTTTTGCTCCCTTCCTAGGACATCTTGGTCAGGAACAGAAGTTCAGGAACTGTGCCCTGAACCTAGGACACCCAGGCCAGGAGTATAGGCCCCTCTGACAGTCTGCCTCCACCCCAACCCCAAAAGGGCACCAGGAAAGTATGCTAGCAGGAACCCCTCCCCTCTGGCAACAGCGCCCATGCCGAGCAGACATCTCTACCCTCCTTGGATATTTTCAGGGACAGCGTTTTTAATTGTGGCAGAAAGTCATGCTGTTCACAGTTACCACCCTGACTTAGACTGAGGGGAAAGACCCCCATCCTCCACTTACACTGGCTCTTTGTGGTATCCTTCATGGTTTTCCCTAAGCCCCCCACACGTTGCTTCTTCTACTCTGGAGGAACAGAGACCCACCCCACTTTTCACTGGGTGGTCTTCAAGCGTGAGATGATAAACCCAGGAGTTCCCCAGTCCTCCCCTGGCTTCCTCCGCACCTCGCAGGCTGCTGTTCCCTGACCTGTCAGGGCCCTGGTTGCCCTCTGCTGGTGTTTAACCTACTTTATGTTCTGCTATTTTTCACCTAAGTCACAAACATTTCCCAGGTTTGAACATCCAAATTTGTTTTTATTCTAGATTCCAAGAGATGAGCCTGGGTCCTGTGTTCCTTGGAATGTACCCATCTGAATCAAATGCAAACTTCTGGAGAAAATGGAGTGCCTCTTCCCAGATGGCAATCTGTCCTATCTCTGTGCTGGAAGACACTAGATCTGAAAGACACAGTTTCCACAGCTCAGAAATCATCCCACAGTGTTGCTTTTCTATGGAGCTGATTTAAAGTATTCCATTTAGATTTGATAGATATGTTTAAGCAATCTATAAATCATTTGCAATGTTATAAACACTAATTGGTTTCCTCTAGGGTGATATTTGCCATTACTCTGTCTCTCTGATCCATCCAGCTAAATGGAATAGACGATGACTTGCATATGACTCATACTTGGCTTGTATCCACCAACAGAAATTATACCATACAGTGAAAGGCAATTTTCTAAATAATTTCATTACTAATACGAACTGTGAAGTTGTCATTTTTTCATTTGTCCCTTTCTGTCACCTTCCTCTTGTCAGAATGAATATAGACACTGTATCTAAGTGGGACCAAAGGAAAAAGAGCAAACTTTCACCAAAGTTTTCATGAAAACCGAAAAGCTTTAAAGGTTACTATCAAGAAATTGAAAGGAAACCCACAGAATAGCATAAAATATTTGTGAGTCACATATTTGATAAAGGTCTTATAACCAGAGATATGAAGAGCTCTTACAACTCAATAAAAGGCAAGTCATTTAAAAATAAGCAAAAGAATTGCTGGATGGTATGGTAGTTCTATTTTTAGTTTTTACCCTAACTACTCTTACTTGATCATTTAACATTCTATGTGTGTAACAAAATATCACATACATAAATATTATGTATCAATAAAATTTTTTAATGGGCAAAGGATTTGAGTAGACATCTCTCCAAAGAAGATATATAAATGGCTAGTAAACATATAAAAATATGCTCAATTTCATTAGTCATTAAGGAAATGCAAATCAAAACCACAATGAGCCACTGTTTTATATGCACTGGGATGGTTGTAATCAAAATGATGGACAGCAGTAAGTATTGGCTAGGATAGGGAAAAATGGGAACACTTACCCATTGCAGGGGGCAGTGTAGGATGGTGTAGATACTGTGGAAAACAGTTCAGCATTTCCTCAAGGAGTTTAACATAGTTAACATAGAAGTTAAACATAGAATTACCATAATCTTAGGTATATACCCAAGAGAATTTAAAATATATATTCACACAAAAAATGTATATATAACTGTTCATAGCATTATTCATAGTGTCCCAGAAGTGGAAACAACTCAGATTTCCATCAACTGATAAAATGTGGTATATCCATACAAGAGAGTTTTATTTGGCCATATAAAGAAATAAAGCACTATTACATGTGGCAACATGGATAAACTTTGAAAACATTGTCTAAATGAAAGAAGCCAGGCACAAAAGGCCTCATATTATGTGATTCCATCTACACAAAATGTCCAGAACAGGCAAATTCACAAAGACACAAAGTAGATTAATGGCCGCCAGAGGCTTCTAGGACCACAGACTGCTAATGGGCATGGGGTTCCTTCTTGGGGTGAGAAAAATGTTCTATAATGAGTGGTGATAATTTTACAACATGTGAATATACTAAAAACCACTGAATTGTACATTTTATAAAGGTGAGAGTTTTATGGTGTGTGAATTATACCTCAATTTTTAAAAAAGTATCTGTGGAGAGAAACAGAAAATGTGGGAAAGATTGAGAAGTTGTGAGAATCGAGAAGCCTATCCCAATCAATGGCTTTCCAAAAACATGGAAGCCTCAAAGGGAGGCTAAATAGCAAGGCACAGTCAAGGAAAAACTCCATTTCCATTAACAGCAGAGAGAAGTCACGTGGATCTCTCCCTTTAAGAGCAGATTTTCTCATTTATACCACGAGTATTTATAGAGCATTTTACTCTGTGCCAGGCACTGTACTAGGCACTTGGGATTTATCAGCAAACAAAATAGACGGAGATCCCTGTCCTTGGGAAGATCCTATTCTGGTAAGGGCACACAGAAAAAAATTAAAAATAATAACAAGTAAATTACGGGAGTATGGTTGATGCCTGAGTGCTAAGGGAAGAAGTAGAAGTGGAGCAGGTTAAGGCCAGTGGAGAGTGATAGAGCAGGTAGCAGGTTGTGGTTAGAATAGGTCAGAGAAAGCCCACCTGAGGAAATGAGAATGGAGGCTGTGAGCTAAGCAGGTATCTGGAGGAAGAGCATTACTGGGGAGACAGGGCATTAGAGCAGAGTCTCTTGCGAGCAAGTGCTCCTGGCCTGTTTGTGGAGCAGTAGTGGGGCCCCTGTGGCTAGCACAGAGCCAGGGATCGGGGCAGCCATGTAGAACCTGGGGGCTGTTATAAGGACTTGAGCTTTTAATCTAAGTGGCTGCAGAACAGAAAAGTGAAGTGGACTTGCTTCTGTTGCACAGGATTGCCCTGGATGCCGTGCTGATGCAGGTCGTGGGAGGGCAAAGGTCGAGGGTAGACACCTCTTTTCTGTCCCTTCTCCAACTCCTTCCCCTCCAACCCACCTCTGTAAATGATGGAATTCTCGAGAGAGCCACGGGCCATCTTTCCCAGGCTCTCTTCCTGGTGGGTGACCTCCTTTACTCCCGTGGCTGGGGGTAACTCTCTTGCCTAAGCTCTGGCTCTGTAAACCCAACTCTTGCTTTTCATTGCCACTTGGATGTTTCAAGGCTGCATATTACATGATTCCATCTATACAACATGTCCTCAAATGTGTCCCAAGCAGATCTCCTCATCTGCACAGCCGTCCACAGGTTGCTAGGCGAGAAATGGGGAAATGATCTGAGGCGCTCTCTTCTCTTTGCGCACACATCTATTCAGGCACAAAATCCTGTCAATCTCACATCAAAGACAGTTCCTGAATCTGCCTCTTCCTCTCTTTATTTCTATAGCCACTATGTTACTCCAAGCCACCTTCATTTCTCCCCTGACTATTGCAATAATCTCCTCCTGATTTCCCTGCATTCATTTTGTTTCCCTTCCAACCATTCTCACATTGAAGCCAAATATATACGTGAATTTTATGGGCACGCACACATGCACATGCACACACAAAATCATTATGTTACATTCTTGCCTAAAACCCTTCAATTGCTTCCTATTCATCTCAGCAGAACAATGTCCCAAATCCCTAAGCTAGCACCTGCACCCTAGCTTATCTAGCCCCAGCCTGTCTCTCCAGCGTTGGCTCATGATCCCTTCGCTTTTCCTGTCTGGGTTTCCTATTGTAGCTCTCTCTCTGGAGCCTTTGCCTGTGTCCTCTGTCTGGAGGGTTCTATCACTTTTACACCTTCTTGGGTCTGACTGCCACTATCCAGTACTGCTCTGCAGTTACAGGCGCAAAAGTCACTTGAGGATCTTGTGAAAACACAAGTCATGAGATCAGGCAAGCAGAAGCTATAGAGTAAGAAGGAAGCAGAACGTCCAGAACCAAGCAGGAGCAGGAGCAGGAGCAGGAGGAACAAGCCGGCAGTAGGAGCAGGTACCCCAGACACAGTGACCCATGCCGGTGCTTCAGCGTCTCTCCCTCCACTCACACCTAGAGCTGCTAGGCAGAGTGGAGGGGTCCTTAAGCTGATGGAGAAGGAAAAAGATAGAGCTGGGTTCACAAGAGGGTTAGCTCCATACCTGGGTACAATCCAGATATACAGTGTAGGCAGTATAGCCCCTCTTAGAGGTGGCAAGGGGAAATTTTCCCAATGGGCAGGGCTTTGGGGAGCACATCGATTATCCACATTATGTGGAAAACAGGAGTGGCCCAACCCAAGGTTAGGATATACGTGGAACAAATGGTTTGGCCAGCTGGTCAAGGGCCTGGGTGTGGGGGGTGATATTACAAGACAGGGGACAAGATGGCATATGAATGGGCATATGGAAGTGGGCATGATGTGTGAAGATTTTTGTATCACAGGTTAGCACCCAGAAGGAAGCTCCCACTGTAAAAGAGTTGCTAAACAATTAAGTGGACCAAATGACATGGCCATATGACATTAGCCAACTCTGTCATCCATCACCCCAGTCAGTGCTGACCCAACGGTGTCAGGGACGGAGGCCGTGCACGGGCCTGACAGCATGGGCTCCCACTTGCTATGTAGCTGCTGCTGATGCTGGACATTCAATCTGCTCCCAACACAAACCGAAGTTGGTCCTCAATTTGACACCATCCCTCCAGGAGACCAACTGGCCATTTGGTAGCAAACTGACTACACTAAACCCTTTCTATTCTGGAAGGGGCAATGATTCACTTTAATGTTTTCTGGGTAAAGGTTTGCCTTTCCTGCCTGCAAGATCTTAGCCATCACCACTGTCTAAGGGCTTACACAGTATTAGATTAATCATCATAAGATCCCATGTAACATCACACTGGGCCAATTTACAGCAAAGTAAGGGGATCTGCTTTACAGCAGCCTGGGAGTGAGTGCATGACTGTGGAACCTGCTGGTCATGTCAGACACTATCCTGCTTGGAACAGCTCTTCTGACAGAGCAATGAAACAACTTCGCGCAGGCACAGCTGGAATGCTAGCTAGAGGGTGGGCTCCCTCCTCTAGGATGCAGGATGCTGGAAAATGAGCATTCTATATGATGCTGGAAAATGAGCATTCTATATGATGCTGGAAAATGAGCATTCTATATGATGCTGGAAAATGAGCATTCTATATGATGTTATGTCCCCAGTGGATGGTTCAAACTGGCAGAGGATAGTTGGGCATTTATAACAGGGGATGGTTAGTACCTATTGTATATAACAAAATTCTTCAGATAGATAAATAAAAAACCTACTAGGAGAAAATAATCAAAGGAGAGAAGGATGAATACAAACACTCACTAAATGTGTAGCAAGATGGATAACCTCACCAAACAAGAGAAATGCCTACTATGAACTGTCATTTCTCCCACATACTGGAAAACTGGACAGTAGGGATAATGCTCAGAGCTGGAGAAGGCTGTGTACATGATTTGTTGTATTAGGGAACACATTTTAGAAGGTAATTTAGCTGGATTCAGCAGTGTGCATAGCCTTCAACCCAGGAATTCCAACTCTAGGAATTTGTCCAACAGAAATACTTGCTCAAATGTCCAAAGATGAAGTCCAAGGATTTGCATTGCAGCATTATTTGTAATAGTAAAAAATTAAAAACAATGTAATGTAAATCAATAGACGACTATTTAATAATTTATGGCAATAATGCAAATAGTTAACATTTACTGACAGCTTACCTTCCTATGTGCTAGGCACTGTTTTAAGCACTTTACTTCACAACAACCCCAAGGGAGATACTATTATTTTGTCTATTTCACAGAAAGCAATTGAGGCACAGAGAGCCTAAGTATTAGGCTGGTGAAAAGTAATTGCGGTTTTTGCCATTGGAAGTAATAGCAAATACTGCAATTACTTTTGCACCAACCTATAACTTGAACAAAAGAAAATTTTAAAATAGCATGAATAGTTTGAGTTCACTTTTTAGAAACTATTAAAAATAATGTACGCATGTATGTATCTATGTATATGTGCATGGGAAAATTCTGTACAGATGCACAGGAATCTGATAATGGTTTCCTCTGCAAAGTAAACACTGGGATAGAAGATTTTCACTTTTTGCTTTACATACTTTTATGTTTTTTAAAATAAGCCTTCTATTTGTAATTTAAAAACAAATTATGAAAAAAAGTACATTTATCATCAAGAAACTCTCCTGAATGTAGTTCATTAGCACGATTTAGCTCCATGTCACTGACTAAAGCAGCTTCTTGTTGCTGCTTTAAGAAGACAGTTTAAGGCCAGGTGCAGTGGCTCACACCTGTAATCCCGACACTTTGGAAGGCTGAGG